GACCTATATTGATCAAATTAAAAATTTCAAAATTGAAAAGGCCTCAAAAATAATCTTATTCAATCCCCTCTCCAAATAAGGAAATAAGGCCAGAGAGGGAAAGCTAGTGAAGAGGGGTAGGTTTAAATTCCAGTTTCTGTCTCCCCACTTTGGTGATCATTCCCCTGCCTCTCAGCTTCTAGAGTTCTCATCTACACGTTGACTGAGCAGCCACTCCTTGTGGGACACTGGTGAGCACTGCTGAGGGGAAGCATGGAACAGAGGTGGGAACTCTGAGGCACTGAGCCAAAGTGCCCAGGTTCAAGGCCAGGCCCATCTCTGGCCTTCCCATCCTCTGACTCTGCCTGACCCTGGCCGGAGACTTTTCAGTGTGTGTTGAATGGATACACCTAGCAAGGATGTCTGGACCACAGATTATCCAGCTTCTCAGAAATGTCCCCTAAAGGGCTGTTAGAGTTAGTAAAGCTCAGCTAGAGGCCCAAGGGGAGTTGCCACCCCCACTGTATCCACACTGGCTCTTCTGTAAGCTATTTGAGGTACTAGGTGCTATCTAAGGTTACGACTGGACAAATGAATTTGTATAGCTTTTCACATGTTCAAACACCCTAACCCAATTCCCATGTTTCCCAAGAAGACCCTGGTATCAGTGGCAAAGGGACCAGACCCCCAAGGACCACAAACATGTGTTAAGTGCCCTTAGGTACAAAACCCCGAAGAGTGATGGGCACAGGGCTGGGCAGAGGGTGGTGAATGCCTTAAGATATTTGGACATTTCATTGCAGGAATATTTCTTCCAAACCTTTTAGTTTGGAAGGCTGCATAGGAATTGGTCTGCTGTGCGCCAGGCATTATGATGGGCCACAGCCACCAGCCACTGTGATGGACTCTCTGGTGTAAGGCTCACTGAAGCTCTGTGTGGAGGCACCCCACCCTATTTTACAGGGAGGCCCTGAGATGGGAAGGGCTGGCTACCCAAGTGTTAGAGCTGGAACTGGAACATCTGCAGACACCTGGCCTCCCCAACCAAAGTGTATTCTGGGAGATATGGACAATCTGGGCTCTGTAAACTACCCCCACCTTCCTTTCGAGCTCTCTGGCATGGATAGCCCTGATGAGTTAATGTGCAACAGCAGCACCTGTATTCAGGGTTCTGCAGAGTCTCGATTCCATTATGCAGCTGGCATCATGACTAGGTGTGTTGCCAAGCCCTATCTGGAGTTGGGCCAGGTTGCTTTGTTTCGTGTTGGTTTCACTCTCCTTTGCATTAACAGGTAGAGGCCAGCATATGTCCTTACCCTGCCTCAGGATCTACACTAAAACTTATTTGGGCAAACAAGTTCTTCAGCTCAATTCCCTGGCATGTTGTGGTCCATGGTTCCTCCCCCACAGAGTGGCATATCAGCAGAGTGGGTGACGGCCAGATAAGGTACAAGTGCTAGCTGCCAGAGAGTGAAAGCAAAGGGTGGCCTAGCTGTAGCACAGAGTAGGGCAGGAGGCAATTAAAGGCAGGGAACTGGTACTGCACCCACACTGTGGGCCAGGCTCCACGATTGGCACTAGTACATTATAAGATTCTTAGTCTTCCCATGCTACCTTGTGGGTAGTTAATGTCTCTGCCTTTCCCTTATAGAGAATGAGGCTCAAAGAGATTAACCTGCCCAGGATCAGCCAAGTATGTCATAAGTGGATTTTGTGAACAGATTACCAACAGTGTATGTAAGCTAAGGAGTCCTGCTGGGCAACAGTTAAGTGCTTAGCTGCTAACTGGCAGTTCAAACTCACCCAGTGGTTCCACAGGACAAAGAGTTGGTGATCTGTTCCCATAGAGATTATGGCCTAGGAAACCCTGTGAAGAAGTTCTACTCTGTAGAGGTAGCTTTGAGTCCAAATCAACTCAACATCACCTAACAACATGCATAGGATGGTCACGTTTTATAAAGTGTGTGTGTGTGTGTGTGTGTGTGCACAGTGCACACGTGCATGTGTGTATGTGAACAGAAAATAAAGCCTAATGAATATACATCAGTATCAGTGGTTAACCCTGAAGAGTAATGGGTTTTTCACTTTCCAACTTACATTTTCTACACTGTTTGAAGTTTTCATAAAGAGTGCATATTGCTTTTGGAATCAGGGGGGAAAAAAGTTAAGTTTGGGGTTTTTTTTTTCCTTTTAAATAGCTCGTACCTTCAAGAGTCAGTCATTAAAGGTGGTCTGCTGTCTATTCCTGGTCTTATTTTTTGTTTTTGTTTTTTCATATTTGATAATATTTATTAAAAATTTTTTTCATATTATACATTAGCTTTTTTTTTTTTTTTAATTGTGATCTGGATGAAAGATTACAAAGCAATTTCATTTTCCATACAGCAGTTTATACACATTTCGTCTCATGACATTGACTGCAATTTGCCACAATGTAACAACTCTCTTCTCACTTGCTCCCCCGTTGCCTCTTCCCTGTGTCCTTCCCTCACATGCACTCCTGCCCCTCTACCCCAGCGGTCTCCCTGTGCATACACTGCCCTTCTGTTCTCTTATGCTTGATCTCTCCAAGGAGTGCATCTACCTGATGGAAATAAATATTCAGCCCGTATGTGGTCTTTTATTTGGCTGGCCTGGCCTTGTTTTGTTATATGTGATGGTTTTGATTCCTAGCCCTGTGGCCTTGGGGAGTCTGTTCAACTTTGAGGATTCTCAGTTCCCCCTCAGTGAAACAGGGACAAGCCCTGCTTCACCAGGTCACTGAGGGGATAAAGAGCTAAGGCATTAGGTGCACAGGTGCCTGTCTGGAAAGTAGGCACTCGGCACATGTCATTGGGATTGTTCTCAGGGCTTGCTCGCTTCTTATCTCTGCTTCTCCTGGTTCCTCTATGAAAATAATCAACGATCCAATTCTCCTGCATGGACTATTTTGTTCTCTGTTGTTGTTGTTAGGTACTACTATCTAGTTGGTTCCAACTCATAGCGACATTGTATATGACTGGGCGCAGGCCCAGTCCTGCGCCATCCGCACAATTATTGCTGTGGTTGATGAGTTCATTTTTGCAGCTACTGTGTCAATCTATCTGGTCGAGGGTCTTCCTCTTTTTTTGCCGACCCTCTTCCAAGCTGATGTCCTCCAGATGGCTGCTGATAATGTGTCCAAAGTACAAAACATGAAGTCTCATCTTCCTTGCTTCTGAGGAACATTCTGGCTGCACCTCTTCCAGGATAGATTTGTTTATTCTTCCGGCAGTCCACAGTATATTAAATATTCTTCACCAACACCATAATTCAAAGGCATCGATTCTTCAGTCCTCCTTATCCAGCTTTTGCATGCATATGAGATGATTGAATATACTGTGGCTTAGGTCAGGCACACCTTAGTCCTCAAAGTGACATCTTTGCTTTTTAACACTTTAAAGAGGTCTTTTGCAGCAGATTTGCTCAATGCAATACGTCGTTTTATTTCTTGACTGCTACTTCCATAGGTGTTGATTGTGGATCCAAGTAAAATGAAATCCTTGACAATCTCAATCTTTTCTCCATTTACCATGGTGTTGCTTATTGATTCAGTTTTGAGGATTTTTGTTTCATGTGAAGGTGTAACTCAGACTGAAGGATGTAGTCTTTGATCTTCATTTCACTCACGACTTCTTCCTCACCCTTTCCTGATCCCCTCACTAAGTATGATCTTACTTTTCCCATAAAACTCAGTTCCTTTTCCCTGTCCCCCAAAGAAGCTGGTTTGATGTGGGTGAGCATCTGCAGCCAGGTAGTAGGCCTGGCCTGGTTTCCTCCTGAAGGCTGTGGGGCTTGTTTAAAACAGGAATGAGCATTCACCGGCACTAAGCTGGTTTGATCAGTGTATTCTTATAATTTCTAATTAACACCAAAACACTCCCCCAAAGTATACAGTTTATTGTCATTTTATATATGAAAACATGGAGGTGCAGAGTTATGTGCCTAGGGTCATGTAGCTTGTGAGTGACTGGGCTAGGGTTTGGCTCTGGCTACCTGGCTATCCAATGCCAGAGGAGTCCCTGGATGGTGCAGACAAGCACTGGGCTACTAACCAAAAGGTTGGTGATTCGTACCCGTCCAGGGGTACTTCAACAGAAAGGCCTGGTGATCTGCTTCTGAAAGGTCACAAACCCTACGAAGCACACATTTCTGCTCTTGACACAAACGGGGGCACCAAGAGTTGAAATCTGCTTGCTGGCACCTGGTTTACCCAATCCCAGAGCCTAGGTGCTTTCCAGGATACCACCCTACCTCTGTCCATGGGCATTTGCTCAGAGTTGATCTCATGGGTGAAGAAGCTAAGGCAGAAAAGCTAAGTGACTCCAGGCACCCAGCAAGTTAAGTCCTGAACCCTTTATTTGGACTGAAGAAGACACCAGCTAAATATAAGATTGATAGTTGTTAGAGACCCGGAGCCCAGGGCCAGGGTGGTGTGTTGGTTTATTCTTCAGAGTCATCTCCACTTGATGGTGACCCCTGCTGCCTGGATAAAGAGCTATGCCCAAGACTGTGGAGCCCAGCCAAGAGGCAGCAGGAAACATGTGGTGATCAAGTAATTCTGGCTGCCATGGGTTTGAATGGGACATGATGACACATGCTCAGGGGTTTTTGCCAGTGCTGACCTGGTGGCGGGAAGGAGGGAGAGAATTCACCTGTATTGAGCCTGCACTGTGACAGACATTGTGACACATTTGCACTTCAAGGCTCTCATTGAAAAGAGCTCCAGGCTAGGGAGCTGGTTGCTAAATTCTCTAGACTAGCAGGAACTAGTTGTTTGACCCTGGACCCACTGTTTAATGTCTTTGAGCTCCTCTTCTGTCTGCTAGAGAACACCTGCTGTGCTTAACCTTATGAGGCTTCTGGGTGTCTCAAAGGTGATAATAGTCATGAAAGGACTTTGAAAGGCCAGGCATGCAACGAAGAAGCCAAGTATCACTGTTACACCCTGATGGCCCTTGGTGTTTGTCTGAGGCTGATCACAATGCCCTCTGTCATTTCAGCTGAATACCATTGGCAATTACTACAAGCCATGGTTCTTCAAGCACGTGGAAAAGTACCTGAAGACAAACCAAGAGGGCCTGGAGTACATTCCCCTGAGGCACTACTATCACCGCCACACGCGCAGCATCTTCTGGGAGCTCCAGGTGAGGCTCAGATTTCCCAGTTTTGTTGGCTCCTTCAGCTGGGCAGGGAGGGCAACAAAGTGGTAAGCATTGTAGCCAAACCCTCTCTTTCCTAAGGGAAAAAAGTGCCTTTGTTCTAAGGAAAGGGGCTCTGGCAGTGTAGTGCCTAAGGCATTTGACTGCTAACCAGAAGGTTGGCAGTTCAAACCCACCAGCCACTCCTCGGAAGGAAGACTGATACTGCCTTGGAAACCCAAGGCAGGGTCACTATGAGTCGGCTCTGACTCCCCGGCAGTGAGTTTGGTAAGGAACTAGGATGCCTTCTTTAGTGGCAACAGTGTTGTTTCCTTCTGAGGGAGCCAACTACCTCAGTTAAAGCAGCAGCAGCTTTTACTAAGCATCTGTTTGGTGCCAGAGAGCAGGGTGCTGGGCTATGTGCTTTAGGGAACTCAGACTTGCTTCTGTCCTTGGAGAACAGCAGACAGATCCTGCTGCTATAGAGGGTCACAAGAACAAGAAAAAGAAGTCCTCCTAGGGCTGGAGGTGGGTGTCAAGCTTGGCCTGATGTAAGCAGGGATCTCTGCTGTTTTGTGGATAGGGTGATGGAAGGGTACAGGCAGTGGCATTTTAAATAGAGGGGTTAGAGGAGGCCTCTGAGGAGATGACGATGAGAGGGGACCTGAACTTAGGGTGGATGTAAAAAGCGGTGTGGCGGTGTCATCTGATCCTCTCTAATGTCACAAAAAAGAAAGGATCAAGATTGACAGCCCAAGGCTGATTCTTATGAGGCAGAGGTCAGACATGCCCCCATTCTCCAACTGTTTTACCAATTCTGATACCAGCCATCCCTCCCATGGCATTCTCTAGTTCTCTGCCAGGTTCAATAATTTGTTGCAGGGAGCAGTGGTAGACAGGGCCAGCAGGAACAGTAGGGGGAAGCCCAGAAAGTGAACAGAGTGGTTGGAACAGCTAAGGGAGACAAACTTGTCTGTCAATTTGTCATGCTGTGGTGGCTTGCATGTTGCTGTGAGGTCGGAGGCTGTGTTAGCAGGGGTGCCCATGGTAGACTGGTTTCTGTGGAGCTTCCAGACTGAGACAGACTCAGAAGAAGGAAGAGGCTGCTATTTCTCAAAGAATTGGCCAGTGAAAACCTTGTGAATAGCAGTGAAACACTGTCTGATATATTAATGGAAATGTTTATGAATAGCCCTGAAACATTGTTCAAAACAGTGTCAGGGGGTGAGTACCTCAGGTTGGAAGGCATGCAGAATATGACAGGGAAAGAGCTGTGTCATCAGAGTAGAGCCTACCTTAATGATATGGACAAAGTAGAGCTTTCAGGGCCTCCATTTGCTAAAGTGGCACAACTCAATATGAGAAGAAACAGCTGCAAACATCCATTGATAATCTGAACATGGGATGTGTATGAAGTATGAATCTAGGAAAATTGGAAGTTGTCAAAAATGAAGTGGAACACATAAAGATTGATAATCCTAGGCATTCGTGAGCTGAAATGGACTGGTTTTGGCCATTTTGAATCAGATAACCATATACTCTACTATGCTGGAATGACAAATTGAAGAGGTTTGGCATGGCATTCATCGTCACAAAGAGTGTTTCAGATCTATCCTGAAGTACAATGCTGACAGTGATAATATCTATGCACATACAAGGAAAGTCAGTTAATACTACTACTATTCAAATTTACACACCAACCACTAAAGCCAAAGATGAGGAGATGGAAGATTTTTACCAATTTCTGTACTCTGAAAATGGCCAAACATGCAATCAAGATGTGCTGATTATCACTGGTGACTGGCATGCAAAAGTTGGAAACGAAGAATCACTGATAGTTGGAAAAATTTGGCCTTGGAGATAGAAACAATGCTGGAGATCACATGATAGAATTTTGCAAGACCAATGACTTATTGATTGCAAATACCTTTTTTCAACAACACAAACAGTGCCTATACATGTGGACTTTGCCACATGGAGTACACAGGGATCATATCGACTGCATCTGTGGCAAGAGGTGATGGAGAAGCTCAATAACTTCCACCAAAACAAGGCCAGGAGCTGATTGTGGAACAGACCATCAACCCCTCTTAAGCAAGTTAAAGTTGAAGTTGAAGACAATTAAAAGAAGTCCACAAGAGCCAAAATATGACCTTGATGATATCCCTCCTAAATTTAGAGACCATTTAAAGAATAGATTGCATTGAACACCAATGACTGAAAACCGGGGGAATTGTGCAATGACACTAAGAATATCATCCATGAAGAAAACCAAAGGTCATTAAAAAAAACAGGAAAGGAAGAAAAGACCAAAATGGATGTCAGAAGAGGCTCTGAAACTAGCCCTTGAATGGACAGTAGCTAAGCAAATGGAGGAAATGACCAGATAAAAGAGCTAAACAGAAGATTTCAAAGAGCAGTTCGAGAAAACAAAGTCAATTATTATAATGAAATATGCAAAGACATGGAGTTGGAAAACCAAAAGGGAAGAACATGCTTGGCATTTCTCAAGCTGAAAGAACTGAAGAGAAATTTAAGCATCCAGTTGCAATACTGAAAGATTCTATAGGCAAAATATTGAGTGATGCAGGAAGCATCAAAAGAAGATGGAAGGAATACACAATCACTATACCAAAAAGAATTGGTCAACATTCATCCATTTCAGGAGGTGGCATATGATGAAGAACTAATGGTACTGAAGGAAGAAGTCAAAACTGCACTGAGGGAAATGGTGAAAAACAAGGCTCCAGGAATTCATGGGATACCCATTGAGATGTTTCAACAAATGGATGCCGCATGTGGTGGTTATGTTTGTGCATCAACTTGGGTGGGCCTGGTTGAGTGGCTGGGCAGCTGCTGGTAGTTATTTTCCATGATGAGACTGGCTATCAGCTCCATGGTTGGACCTACCACAAGCAGCTTAGTAGCTGCTTTGGGTATGTGGTCTACTTCTCGTATAGAAGAAACAGCTTTGGGAATGGTCTCCAGCTTATGGCACACTTGAACCTTGCACATAGCCGTGTCATTGTTCAGCAGCCTGCCATGCTCTGCTGACCTTGGGACTTTCAGTGGACTTGAATGAATGGCCTGTGTGGTTTGGTAAGATCAGGACAGTGCCTTTTTACTTTTCAACCTTGGGCTTGTCATCCTCAGTAGCCAGCAGCTGTCTGAGTGAAAAAAAGCGTCTAGCTTAAGTGTGCCGGGAGCAAGAGGCAGAGCTGAAGCCCAAGGATGAGGGGCTTTCACACAGCCCGTAGAGCCTGGCACTTTGAACTCGGACTTCTAACCACCCAAACTTAAGAGAATATACTCCTGTTTGTTAAGGCCATCCCATTTGTGGTATATTCCTGTCAGAGTGGCACTAGATAACCAAAACACTGCACTAGAGGCACTCACTCCACTTTGCCAAGAGATTTGGAAGATAACTAACTACCTGGTCATCTGACTAGAAAAGATCCATATTTGTACCCATTCCAAAGAAAGGTGATCCCACAGAATGTGGCAATTTTCGAGCAATATCATTCATATTGTATGCAAGTAAAATCTTACTGAAGATAATTCAAAAACGATTGCAGCAGTATATTGACAGAAAACTTCCAGAAATGCAAGCTGAATTCAGAAGAGGACGTGGAACCAGGAATATCATTGCTGATGTCAAATGGATCTTGGCTCAAAGCAAAGAATACCAGAAAAATGTTTACTTGTGTTTTGTTGACTATGCAAAAGTATTCAATTGTGTGGATCATAACAAATTATGGATAACATTGAGAAGAATGGGAATTCCAGAACACTTAATTGTGCTCATGAGGAACTTGTACATAGACCAGGAGGCTGTCATTTGAAAAGAACAAGGGGACACTGCATGGTTTAAAATCAAGAAGGGAGTTTGTCAGGGTTGTATCCTTTCACTGTACTTATTCAACCTGTATGCTGAACAAATAATCCAAGAAGCTGGACTATATGAAAAAGAATGTAGCATCAGGATTGGAGAAAGATTTATTAACAACCTGCATTTTATGCAGATGACACAACTTTGCTCGCTGAAAGTGAGGATGACTTGAAACACTTACTGATGAAGATTGAAGACTACAGTCTGTGGTATGGATTACACCTCAATATAAAGAAAACAAAAATCCTCACAATGGGACTAATAAGAAGTATCATGATAAATAGAGAAAAGATTGAAGTTGTCTAAGACTTCATATTACTTGGTTCTACAATCAACACCAATGGAAGCAGCAGTCAAGATATCAGATGTCTTCTAGCATTGGGCAAATCTGCTACAAAGGACCTCTTTCATGTGCTGAAGAGCAAAGATGTTTCCTTGAAGACTAAGGTGTGCTTGACATAAGCCATGGTATTTTCAATCACCTCATATGCATGTTAGAGCTGGACAATGAAAAAGGAAGACCAAAGAAGAGTCGATGCTTTTGAGTTATGGTGTTGGTGAAGAATGCTGAAAGTACCATGGACTGCTAAAAGAACTAACAAATCTGTCCTGGAAGAAATGCAGCCGGAATGCTCCTTGGAAGCGAGAACGGCAAGACTTTGTCTCACCTACTTTGGTCATGTTGTCAGAAAGGACCATTCCCTGGAGAAGGATGTCATGCTTGGCAAAGTGGAGGGACAACGAAAAAGGGCAAGGCCCTCAATGAGATGGCTTGACACAGTGGCTGCAGTGATGGGCTCAGGTATAGCAAAGATTGTGGGGCTGGCACAGGACCAGGCAGTGTTTCATTCTGCTGTACACGAGGTCACTATGAGTTGGAGACAACTCAATGGCACCTGACAAGAACAAGGGTGGCACCATGGAAGAAGTCCCTGACTGTCTGTGTCCCTAAAGATTATAGCCAAGAAAACCCTATGGAGCTCGTTTCTACTCTGTAACACATGGGATCGCCATGAGTCAGAATCAACACAACAGCAAAAGGTTCATTTGGTGATAGAGTCAGTAAGGAACTTTTAGTGGAAAAGAGACATGGTAGGATCTTTACTTCAAAAGAATA